TCCTTCAGGTCAAGTGTGGAGCCCACTAGTCAGTAGTATAATTATCTATCCATCGTTTTCCTATCTTCCTCCCGAAGAAAGGAAAAGCGATCTAGCTTTCGCCTCGCGCTCCACCGCCGTTCTCCGGCGGCTCCCCTCCGTCGATGACCCTGATCGTCGGCGGTGAGGGGAGGGGGGGGGGGAGGGGATCACCGGATCCACACGTGTGGATAGTTTTAGGTCGAAGTACCTTAGTTTTTTAGACTGTTCATCGTCTTGCTTCGGCGGCGGCGATGGTGGCCTGAAAAAAAATTCTTCAGATCCTACTCAGATGAGATGATTGGTCCTATTGTTGGGGATGGATTTGGAATCCAGTCTGTTCAAGCAAGGATGGTGTGGCGGCGACATCCTCGTGGTGGACATGTGTCCTCTGGCTCCGCCGTTGCGACGACGTCTGCTCCAGCGTCGGCGCGGAGTTTGGAAGGTAATCCAGGAGCGGATGCAGATTGTGGTTTGCATTGACGATATCTGAAAGACGGAACGTGTGCTAGGTTCATGGTTGATGGATGGCAGGTGTGATTTCCTCCTTCAGCGTCTTAGTCATGGTGGGGTGTCAGATCTGGAGTTTGATGGCGTGTCCGGGGTTTTGCCCCGGTCTGATTCGTTCACCGTCAATGGCTTCACTTTTGGGGAGCCACCTTGGAGGTCCGCAAAGCTGCTTATTAGCGATGGAGCCGCGTCAAGCTCGGGTGAGGAGGTGGTTCGTCATTCTATTCTTCGGTGGCTGCTTTGGTGGTGCCGGAGGCAGGTGATGGACGTTGGTGTCAAACTCAGAGATGTTCTGCTATCTTTTCAGTTTTGCCATGTCGGGTTTTACGTGACTTGTACTCTGATCTTTATCATATAAATGAGACACGTATTACCATGCAAAAAAATAGTCAGTAGTATAATTTATAATAAGGTCCCTGCAAAATAGCATAAAGCCCCCTACAAGGAAAATAAATCAAACTGCAGCGAGCAGCTTTGTATCAGCCATCAGACACTAAATAATTAAGCCCACCCAACAATTAGAAAGCACTCATGCGCACTTTTGCTTCGAGTGTGGAAGGCTGGTGCATGGCGAGAAGGGCTGTGTCCCGGCGGTGGATCCGGATCAGCAATGGGGGGAATGGCTCCTGGCATCCCAGGTCGTTCTTGGGGGACAAAAGAAGTATCACACAGAGGCCCCTCGAGTAGTGCAAATAGCTTTAGAAGTGTCAGGTCAAGTAAGGGAGAACAAAATAGGAGGAAGTCGGGCATAGTCTGTGATCTCCCTATAAAGAGGAACCTGCATAATGAGTTCACCACCCTGGCCGTATCCCGCACTGGCGAGGAGGGCAAGGGGGGAATGAGGGAACCGGTAACCCAAACAAGCAGAAGCAATAGGTAGAGATAACACGCGAGAGGGATCTGCGGGATGAGATTGAGCAGAAGAGAGAAAGAGAAATGAGGTATGAGCTCCGATAGAGGCAACAAGAGAAGCAGGCTGAACTGAGGTTCAGGTACAAGCAGTATGGCCAGTGGGGCCATGAGAATGCTGGATCATCGAGCTAATTCAGGGGGAGGGAGCGCAGACAAGGGTACTATGTTAGGAAACCGAGGTCTGAGCATTATGTGGAAAGGCGATCTCCTAGCAGCCCAAGACATGTTGCTCAGTTGGAGAGGAAAAGGAGACCGAAACAGCACTGGGTAGCTAAGGGTGATCTGGATAGACAGGTAGGAATCGATACTTTTGTTCGCGACATGAGGCAGAAAACCTCATCTGTGTTTGACCATATTGAAGAGAACAATGATTCATCGGCGAACCCTGCTAGGACGGGGGGCCGCCGGGAGCAATGAATTTCCTAGCCTGGAACTGTCGAGGGTTGGGGTTGGACCCGACAGTGGGCGAACTAAGGGACCTGATTAGGTCATACAACCCAGCGGTGGTATTCTTATCAGAAACAAAAAAGACCTCACGTGCTATGGAGAGACTGAAATCGAGACTAGGGTTCAGACATGGGGTTGCTGTTAATTGCAATGGCAACAGTGGAGGTTTAGCTTTGTGGTGGAAGGATTCGGTGGAGGTGACAGTGAGGCCTTGGTGCCAATACTATGTTGACGCACAGATTATGGCAGACGGGGTCACCTTTAGATTCACTGGAATCTATGGGGAACCGTGTGTGGAGAAGAGAATGAAAACGTGGGAGGTGCTTCGTTATCTATGTACACAAGATAACCTCCCGTGGCTTTGCGCGGGGGATTTCAATGAAGCTCTTCTCCAAAAGGAGCAGATTGGCGGTAACCCGAGGAGTTTAAGCCAAATAGCAAATTTTGCGGAGTGCATGTCCAACTGCGGGCTTGCAGATCTTGGGTTCTCGTGCTACCCCTTCACATGGGACAATAAACGGGATGACAGTGACAACATACAAGTGAGATTGGATAGGGCCACATGCAATGCTGAGTTTGCACAGCTCTTCCCGGCGGGTGAAGTGCTATATGTAATGACCGAGGAGTCTGACCATCAGGCGTTGGTGGTCAAGGTGCAGGTGGCACCGGCTGCGTTGCACCTGGGGGGCCAACACCCTTTCATGTACGAAGAAGCATGGACCACACACAAAGGGTACGAGGCAATGATTGCTAGTGCATGGGCCGAAGTGCAAGCAGCCAATCAGGCGAACGGTGCACTTGGGGCGGCATGCAATCGCTTCAGGCTCACGTCAAGGGCCATGCAGGTGTGGAGTCGCCAAGTGTTCGAATCCATCAAAAAACAAATAACTCATTTGAAGGTTCAGTTGGTTGATGCCAAATAGCGTGTTGTGCGGACAGGGTACGGGCAGGAAATCAAAGATATTGAGGACCAATTACACGAGTTATACGAGAGAGAAGAGGTATATTACAAGCAGAGATCCCGTGTGGACTGGCTCACAGATGGAGACCAAAACACTAAGTATTTTCAGAATCGAGCCTCTCACCGCAAGCGGAAAAACACGATCAAGGCTCTAGAAAGAGAAGATGGATCAAGGTGTACTGATGACGAGGGTATGAGGACGATGGCTGCGTAGTTCTATGCGCAGTTGTTTGCATCGGAGGGATCACGTGAGGGAGCCAGGGTTTTGCAGCATATTGAAAAGGCAGTCACGGAGGAGATGAATGATAAGCTGGATGCTCCATTTACGGATGATGAAATTGAGGTAGCTCTGTTTCAGATGGGCCCTACGAAGGCACCGGGGCCGGATGGGCTGCCGGCCATGTTCTATCAGAAGCATTGGGCGCTGGTAAAAAATGATGTGTGCAATGCGATACACGATTTTCTTGCTGGGACTGCTGCCCCGACAGGTTTTAATGATACTGTTATTGTGATGATCCCAAAAGTAAGCTCACCGGAGCTTCTCTCGCAGTTCCAACCCATTAGTCTTTGTAATGTACTGTACAAGATCGCCGCGAAAGCACTGG